AACATAATCTAATAGATGAACAAGTCTATTATAAGATTAAGTTTGGTGTTACATAGAAGTTAGAATTCTTAATCTTAAATGTATGAAATTACAAGTCCAAAACTCCAAATTGTCCATTGTCAAAATTTATTAAATTATTTATTTATTTGTTTTTTTGGAAGAAATTGATTAATATTAAACACATTTGTAATTAATTGAAAATATTATATAACCCTCTCAATCTATAATTTCGGGGGGGGGGGGGGGGGGGGGGGGTGGGGGGGAAGGGGAATTCCGCTCAAGGATTATCACCAAAAATCCCCGTCCTTCGAATTGGGTCGGGTTGAGATGGGATTCGCCGACACCCCCAACTCGAGGACGGTACAGGCGACCCATCCCCCAGCCCCAACTCGCCTATCTCTACTAAATTCTAATATTAAATAGTTCACAGTGAATCTAACACTCTTAACTAATGGAGACTGATAATGTATATTGCTTTATGCTAGGATGTATTTCTTTAAACTGCTGAAAATTTTCAATTTAATAAGGGGAAAAAAAAAAAAGAAATCAAATATTAAATATTGTCCATGGAAAACTTGAAAAGTTGACTTTTGAAAATATTAAATTTCATTAATAAATCTTCATATTCATATACCAAATGTATATTTATTTCATGTATTTGATTGACAACGAAATTGTTTTTTTTAGAAATCACATAAAATCAAAGTATTGCTCACTACAAGAAAATGCCTCTCAGCATCTAGCAAAATTAGATGCAAAAGTAAAATTTAGACACTAAATTATATTTCGCATCTAAATTTCGTAGTCGCCACGTAGTTGCGGAATCGCTGTCGTAGAATGTATAAACGTCTAAATTTTGGTTAGACGGGAAAGTTTTTTTTAGTGACTAGCATATTAGTCGCTAATTGCTGGTTAAATAGTCCCCCCCCCCCCCCCCCCCCCCCCCCCCTAGACGCTAATTGTTCAAGGTAATTTGGTAAATTGTACGCGACTAATTAATGATTGCAAAAATACTTTTTAGTGTCTATAATTTGTCATGAATGCAAAAAAATTGGACACTAAAGGTGTAAGGTAATTTCATAAAAGTTTTCGTAACTATTTGGTTGTCGACGAATGTATCTTTTAGTGACCAAATTTTTGTGTTAATTTAATACTTTAGATGCTGAATGTAAAATCCAAAAGTTTTTTGCGACTATTTTATTAGTGGCCGAATGTATCTTGGTGACCAAATTTAGTGGTTAATATAGTCATTTTCCACGCTGAATGTGGAATCCAAAGGTTTTCGCGAGTTTTTATTAGTGGACGAATGTATCTTTTGATGACCAAAATTTAGTGGTTTTCTAATCATTTTAGACGCTGAATGTGAAATCCAAAAGGTTTCGCGACTATTTTATTAGTGGACGAATGTATCTTTTGGTGAGCAAAATCTAGTGATTAATTCTAATCATTTTAGACCTGAATTGAAATCCAAGGTTTTCGTGATTATTTATTAGTGGACGAATGTATCTTTCGGTGACCAAAATTTGTTGGTTATCTAATCACTTTAGACGCTGATGTGGAAGCAATTATGCTAAATTACTTTTTGCTACTAAAACATTAGTTGCAGAATGTGTTTTTTTTAGAGCATTTCGTATTGACCTTCAGCAGAATGTAATTATGCTAATTACTTTTTGCTACTAAAAAATTAGTTGCAGAATGTGTTTATTTTTTTTAGAGCATTTCGTATTGACCTAGTTTATACATTCACCATCAACAAATAATTGACATAATATAAAAATCTGATCACTAACATCAATATCATATTTCATACTATTATATATTATATATATTATATGTAGTCCATACATGGATTTTTTGCATGATGAGCAATAAAATAAAAAATGCACTATCACATGTGCATAACCACAAAAAAAAAAAAAAAAAAAAAAAAAAAACCATGCACCCACATTTTCCCCACTAGCTATCTATCTGTGCATAACTAACAAAAAAAGGCCCATCCCATGTACACCATCTAACATATATATGCAAACAATCCTAAAAAGATGGTTCTACCCCCATGTCAAAATATCTACTACCCATACAACAAAAAACTAACCATCAATATTGTTAGCATGTCAAGTGTCACCAGTTGCGATTTTTGAAATAACTATAGCTGATGAGGACGAGTCTTCATCAGTTGGAGATGGCATTGGCTGTCAAGTTGGAGCTTTATCATATTGTTGTAGTTCAAGGGCTATAGTTAGCTGCTTCATCATCTCCAACTGGACAAATTGTTATTGTTCAAGGCTTTTTATTTTCTTTTTTTGTTGATCAAATAAGATGAGCTGCTCCTCCAACTATTTAATCTTATTTTCTTGTTATTGCACAATGCACCTTAACTCTACTTCTACTGCAGTGGAATGATGCTCAGTCTGTGAAAATGCTAAATTTTGGTTAAATCCGGAAGCTTTACCCAGAACTTCCTCACATATTTCAGCTTCTGTTTTTTCACTTTCCCCTACTTGTGTTTCATCTTGCAGCTCTATCATTTTTTCCTACCATTAATTCAATGCATAATCAATAAGTCAACTAAGAAACTAAATAGCAACATAAAAGAATACTGCCGCACCAAACAAAAGTAAAATTGATGGAGTAGAGAAGCAAGTATCTCAAACATTATCAATCTAAACTTCAATTCCCTAGTTTTAAATTTTAAAGTTAAATATTTACTAATCAATTAACAACATGCTAACATAAATAAAATCAATCCATGAAAATAAAGCTCTTAAAGGCTCCTAAAATTGCACTTTTAGTTATAGCAGGTCCCTAGGATGGATGACAACTGACGCAAAAATGCTTAGAAGAAAGTCTGAAATATCTACATAAACCATGAAACAGGTTTTTCCTACTAGAAGAAACTCCAACTTTCTGCTTTAAAAAATACAAACTGTAAAGTTCAATCAAGAGACACAGTATAACACAAGTTAAATTTCAGCCTTATCCTGCAATGTTTGTAACATATCAATAGCAAACCAGAGCATAGTTGTAAAAGTTTGGTAACACTCAGGAAAACTAAATGCCAATATCAAACAAATGCACAAGCACCAACATAATTACAGGTCAAAAGATGACAAAGAAATGCAATGAGACTCAAATTAAAACAATAAAAGCATGGCAGTATGGAACAGTTACGGAAAAAAAAGAAATTTATACCCAATTGAATGGTAAGACATTTCATTGAATTTTTTATTTAAAGAACATAAGACCATGACAAGTCAACTAATATTTAAAGAACATAAGAGTTTGTCCCCCTATATGGATTAACAGATTACCACATCTAAACAGCACAACTCCTGGCTTAAAGAGAAAATAAAATCAGACCCAAATTTCAGAAAACAAACCACACTGCATGCTGCAATGATAACAGGGAATCCCATGGAAAAAACTGATACACCACTCAAAAGAATAAAGAAACTATTTCCAGACACAACAAGAACTACAGGCATTTAATTACAAACTAAAAAAGGTATTAAAAGAAAAGTACAACATACAAATACCTACTACATTTTATTCACTACTCCTTTTATGCTTATGAAAAAGCTACTCCTTTTCACTACTTCTAATCACAACACATAACATATAACAGAAGAGACCTTATATTGATAATTGAAAGATGATCAACTTACATATAACTCTCTTGCTTGTTCATTAATCCACCATTTCTCGGCGCTCTAACGAGTGTCATGAAATAATTGTATAGGATCAACAGATTCGCCAAGTTGGTATGCCTTAACAGTTCATATCATCATTGACCATAAATTGAAATAAAATTAGTAAACAGGAAAACAAAGTTGTATATTTGTATAGGTGAATAATATTAAATACCTTTTCTTTTTTGTGTTGGATAAAGCTCTTGGAACCACCGCGGTGGTTACACCTTATCTTCGACCAGTTCTCAGAATAAGTTTTTGACCATGCTTAACACCATAAAATTTAATATTAAAATACAATACATATATAATAACATTAAAAGCCATGTTGACCTTACCTGAAACTGTTCACTAGAAAAAAGGTCACAAAGATATATCCAATCATAAAGATCTTTAATTTCTTCAGGTCTATTCTGTAATGCTTCCTCCTTAGTAGCATATGCTTTGAATTTCTTGTGTAGGGCACTTCGGAAGCTGTTGAATCTCTTACACAGTTTGTGCTTCAGCCATTTGAGTACATGGGGCTCCGTGACATCAATGTCAAACTTGGTCTAAATTCATCAATAATGTACATGCATTAAACTTATATGGGTAATATATATTATTTTCATAAGGAAGTATGACAATATGGATAATGATATTAAACTACCATGATACGAGCAATCATTTGTTTTTCGACATTGTAGGGAACTTTCTTCCAAGTAAGCACTCTAACAGGGGCATAGTTCCTCGCAATTATTCCTACCTCAGTACTCAACTTTGATGCATTTACTCCAGTAGGTACTCCATCTTCTTTTTGAAAGTCTACATGCAACTTCGACTGTGTTGTTTGTAAGAGTCTTTCACATCCAACTCCTCTAGTCTTCCCTCTCACGTTCTTTGCCACAATATTGTCTACAAAATCAAAATAATGCATCATTAGTAAATAATATGTTATCACAAGGACGGTTTACATGTTGGTAAAGTAAAATAGATTCTTAAATTTTAAACAAACATTGTAGACAATATCTAAAATCCAAGTATATATTTCAGTATGCTTATAGTAACCAATATCATAACTTTACTAGTGTTTGCAGCAATTTTAGGAGTCGGTACAGGACTATGATTCAGTCAAACAACATTTGCACGTCTAGCTAGGGTCCTTCTTGTACTAGGAGCCATCTTCGGAATCTGCAAACATCAACATAAGAGAAAACATACCAGGTAAAATATAAGTCACTTTATACCATTAATCTCACGAAATTAGATCATTAACTATATTTACACATACACAAAATAGTAAAGAGTAAATATAATCATACAAGCATACCATCAGAAGTTGTTATCAGAATCACTCATTAAATCATTTTCATTATCAGTACAATAATCAATCAACGTATCATCTTCTTCTTCAACATCAACACTGACATCATCTTCCACTATTTCAGCTTCAACATGTATAATTGTTGCATCATCCAAGTCAGAATCAACATCATTTCTAATGAAATATCCCCTGTCAAACTCATCTTCTTGCATAGGAACAATATCCTCCTCTTCTTCATTTGTGTTATCCATCTCTTGTACGTCCCATAGGTTTCTATGTTGAGCTTTTCGAACCATTTTCCAATTAGTCCTAAGTTTGTAATCATCAACATAGAATACTTGTTGAGCTTGAATGGCAAGTATAAAAGGATCATTTTCATACCACAATTTGCCAACATTAATATAAGTGAGATGATAATCTTTTTGTATCCTCTTCTTTTTTGCATTAGTGTCAAACCAGTTACACTTGAATAATATAACCTAAAACCCATTAACATAATTTAGCTCTAACACACCACTTAATTCAGCATAAAAATCAATTGGATCACCATCATGCTTCCCTGGCACCATCACTCCACAATTTTGTGTAACTCGACAATATGATTAATCATTGTTATGGAAACTCACTCCATTGACAATACAAATGTTAACAAAATTAACACGAAAATCAGGGCCACAAGATAAGAAGTACAATTCCTTAGTTGTATCATTGCACCTGTCAACATGCAAAGTGTTCATCTACACAAAAACATCAATTCCAAATCAATGAAATTACCTAAAACATATTAAACCTTGTTTTGTATGTTTTATGAACAATTAAGGTATACTTACATGATCTGCAAACCATTTAGGAAATAACTGTCCTGGTGTTTTGAATATATTATCACAATTTAGGGCCTCCAACTCTTTTAAGTGTTCTCTGTTTGTTACATAAAGAAAAGAGACAATTATGGTTATAATGTTGAACTTACATACAATTTAAAACATTTGTTTCTCAACAGGTTTCAAACTAAACTTAAAAAGGGACTCACTGTAGAAAAGGTTGCAGTTCTTCACAATTGTTCAAGACGTACCAATGAGCCTTTTGCAATTCATCTGGTGGAAGTTCGATTAACTTCCTTGAACCCCATGGACGAGCCTTTTGACATAAAACTGATAATACTCCTTCTGGGTGTCCATGCAAACTGTCATCATTTCTCTCTACTCGATTAAATCTAGTTTCAATTCCCCGCAGATACATTGAACAAAATGTTAATGCTTCATTCACCATATAACCCTCCACAATAGAGCCCTCCGGTCTAGCTTTGTTTCTAACATATTTTTTCAATTTCCCCAAAAACCTTTCAACTGGATACGTCCACCGATATCCAACTGGATCACCCAATTTAGCTTCTAGTGGAATGTGTACAGCCAAATGAACCATAATATCAAAAAATGTAGGAGGGAAAACCATTTCAAGCTTATAAAGAATTGGGACTATATCTTGTTCCAATCTATTTAGATAATTTATAGACGAAGTCCTAGCACATATTTGTTGGAAGAAGTAAGATAGATCGACAAGTGCAGTACAAACATCTTGACGCAAAAATGGACGTATTCCTACGGGCAACAATTGTTGTAGCAAGACATGACAATCATGACTCTTTAACCCATGAACCTTGCCGTTTTTCACATTGACACATCGAGAGATATTACTTGCATACCCGTCTGGAAACTTCACTAATTTCAGGAACTGGCAAAATTGTCTTCTCTCATCTAATGTAAGAGTATAACATGCTTGTGATTTCAAATATCTATCACCATGAGGTTGCAAATGTAACTCTTTGCGTATGTTCATATTAGCCAAATCGAGTCGAGCTTTATCAGTATCTTTTGATTTCCCTTCGATGTTCAATAATGTGCCAATGATGTTGTCACCTATGTTTTTTTCAATGTGCATCACATCAAGGTTATGTCTAATTTTAAGTTTACACCAGTATTCCAACTCAAAGAATATACTTTTCTTTGTCCAATTTGATGCACCAGGACTATGTTTCCTTTTTCTACCTCTATCAACTGATAATATATTTTTCCCGAAATGCACATTGTTCACATGAGATTATTGTTCATGAATTTCATCCCCTGAATATAGTTTCAGTTGAGATCTAATTTCTCTTTTCCCATCAATTTCTCTTTTCCCATCAAATTGCTTGCTTCGCCTCCACCAATGATCTGGAGACAAGAATTGCTAATGTCCCATGTAGCATATTTTACTTCTCAACAATTGGGATGAAGTATTCTCATTACATACAGGACAAGCCTTATAGCCTTTGGTTCTCCATCCTGACAAATTGCCTAAGGCAGGAAAATCATTAATTGACCACATGACAGCAGCATGTGAACGAAAACATTCTCCCCGAGCTGTATCATACGTTTGTACACCATCAACCCATAACTCTTTTAATTCTTCAATCAATGGACGCAAATACACATCAATATCTCTTCCAGGTGCTTTAGGCCCTAGAATGAGCAATGACATCATAAAGTAAGGGTCTTTCATAAGCTTCCATGGAGGCATATTGTAAGAGACAAGTACCACTGGCCACATGCTATAAGATAGACTCATGTTCCCAAAAGGATTAAAACCATCAGTTGCAATACCCATCTGGACATTTCGGGCATCTTGTGCAAATGAAGGGTATATCTTGTCAAATTCTTTCCAAGATTCAGAATCTATAGGATGCCTCAACATATCTTTTGTATTTAATCATTTTTCCTTATGCCACATCATATCTTCAGCTGTGTGCCTTGACATGAAGAGTCATTGGAGTCTAGGTTCCAATGGGAAGTAATGCAGAACCTTATGTACAATTTTTTTACCCTTTCCATCATTAATCTTATATCTTGGTTCATCACATATAGGACATTTATCAGCATTCGCATGCTCCTTCCAAAATAATGGACAATCAAACCTACATGCATGTATTGATTCATAGCCTAAGCCTAATTGTTGCATAATTTTTCTAGCTTCGTAGTAGGATTCTGGGAGATTGGATCCTTTAGGTAACACACTTTTTATCAACTGTATTATCAAGTCACATGATTTATCAGTCATGTAACTGATGGCTTTTATATGCAAAAATTTAACTATGAACTCTAGGATTGAGATGTTGGTGCACCCTGGATACAATTCTTGTTGAGCATATGCAAACATGTCATCAAATTTCTCATAGTCTACACTTCTGAGATTATGGGCTATACTATCACCTACATTTGATGAATCCCCATCCATATGCATGTCTACTGGACCACGAGCATTCATTAAGTATTTCCATGATGTCATCATCATCTTCATATTCATTGCCCACTTCATCGCCAGACATGACGTCAAATATGGTTCCAACATTCATGAGTTCCCCGTGAAAAGTCCATACATCATAACTTCTTGAAAACCCATGTCTATACAAATGTAGTTGAATGGTGTATATATCATGTGATCTTGTATTCAAACAAGATCTACATGGGCAGCGGGTCTTACCCTCACTATCCAAATGTTGTTTTGCAATGTCTAAGAAAGAGTCAATTCCTTGAATATATTCATCGCACAACCTATTAGACAACCAAATCCATCTTCTATCCATTGTGACCTTCTAGGTTCGCAAACAAAACATAAATTCAGTATCATAAATATGTTCTATCACAAAGACAATACTCAACCCAATTAAACCACATTCATCCATACAAAGAATATAGTACTAGTGATAATGTAAATGAGTATAAACAATCAATAAATTAATTAAATATCAATTTATGTAACTTATACCTTTTTTTTATGGTTGTAGTAGTAGTGGTGCCTGCACTTTTCGTAGCCTCGGTCTTCAAGTCAACTTTAAGATCCGCAAATACCTTTTAAAACAAAATAATTAGGTTATAATTTTATAATTTATCAAGAATATGTCATTTTCCTTATATGAAAAGAAATACCACACTCTAAATTAAATGAATCAGCAAGCAATGGCTAAAATTAAAGTCAAATGCAGCCTGAAAACAAGCAATAGGACTAAAAGATAAGGAAGATAAGTTTATATTCAGAGGCTATGTAAAAGATAAGGAAGATAAGTTTATAATTCAGAGGCTATGTACTTTGCACTGATCCATATTGATAATTGTAATATCACTACTCTTTTGTTTATACAATTCAAGGTAAAATTTGTAACTTGAATTTCATTTCATAACCTAATTTTGAGGTGTATAATGCATTCAGACTGTTGAAGAGTTGCTGTAACATCCTTTTCTTTCAATTGATGCTTGAGTTTTGGATGTACAGAATAGAATAGTTTAGCCTGATTCACTTTATTAGTTAATTGGTTCTTTTGTCCATATTTGATGTATGGTGAATCAAAGATTCATCTGACAATTGGATTTTTATGTGAATGAAATACGGTTAATTCTTTCATCATCCCATGGGTTAGTAAACCATATGTCTATGTGTGAATCTCTAAACCTGTGATGATCTTCTTTGTGTTATTAGTCAAATTTCAAATGGAAGTTCTTTTCAGCTATTACTTCTTTAGCACAATATTGTTGACTAATGACTAAGCACTCTTGGATCATTATTGATTGTTTTACTTTCAAGTTGACCACACAATTCAATCCGAGGAATAAATATTGTAGTATTCAATGTTTATAATGAGAAAGATCAAAGACAAACACACAGAGAGTCAAGCATCCAAAATACTTTTCAGCTCATAAGATATTTTCAATATATCAATATGGTATTTCTCTAAAACTGAACTGTATGTAAAATCTAACTCAACTCAGGACATACACAGCAAAATATACCAGAAACAAAGCTACCAATTATTATTGCAGATCTCAATGTCAAGTGGGAAAGCTGAGCACTATCTTCCTAATGTTTTGGAATGAGAACACTCGTTTGCAGATTTGCCTTCCAATAATTAACAACATATTAGAATCCTCAAACACACATAATTAATAAAGTAACTGCAAGTTGCTGAAGAAAAATTTTGAATACTTCCCGTGAACAAGACTATAGAACTCATCTTTTACCTTTCGAGTCAACCAGTTTGCTCAAAAAAAAAAATGAAAATGAAAAACATGATTACGTGAGCCATTTAGTATGGATAAAATATAGTAGTTGTGTAGTTGTTGAAGTTATTTTCCTGGAAGTTTCTCTTATCTTTTAAAGGATGATGGATGAAAACAGAGTAGCCATCAAGGCATTTGATTTGATTGATTAGTTCTGGAACTTTGGCCAAGTTGAAACCAGTTTTTAACAGTTTGTTAAACCTAAAAGCAGTTACATCACGGAAACATTCATCTACATACAATTTGGAGGACTGAATAGTAATTGGAACAAATGGAACAATATGATCAATATGATGAAAGAAAGTACACAGCTTTGGGAACATATAATGGCTTACCCAAGAAGGAAAACAAAGTCTTAGGTTGTCAATATTGCTTGACCTTTGTAGCGATACAAGATGGGCCAGGATGGCAACTGCTTCAAGATAGATTGAGAAACTCCAAATATTCTGTCAAAACAGGGTGGGTTTTCCATCAGAAATCAAATCTATTTACTAAATAAAAAGTTAATTTACTAATCAACAACACAAATTACTGTAAACAAGAAAACGGTATGAAAAGCACATCATCTTTCTCAAAATCACCAATAATTGTACATTACCAGTTTCCTAACACAATACATACGAAGTCTGATGTGGTCCATCAATCCATCAAATGAGCACCAAATCAAACTTCTTCTATTGGGGAAATCGCTGGGGATTTGTGTGGAGAAGAGATTGGGAATTTGGGGAAATAGGTAGGGATCTGCGTGGAGAAGAGAAGAGCTAGTTAAGGTTATGAGATTGGGAATTTGGGGAAATAGCTAGGGATTTGCATGGAGAAGAGATTGGGAATTTGGGGAAAGGCTTGCTTTATATAGGTTAGGGTTTTCTGTAAATAACTTTAAAAAGTAAGGCTTTTAATTAGTTGCTTAATTTTTAAATATAATTATATTTTGCAAACAAATCAATTTGAAACTAAATTTTTAGTTAGGAAAGAATTAGTTATATTTGCCTATAATTGAAGTCTGGAGGGAACTAATAATTTGGGGGGAACATAAATTTTTCAACTTAAATTGGCAACTAAACCGAATTTAGTTGCTGTAATAATATTTTGCAACTATTGTTAATATGAATACAAACATTTGTTGCTAAAAATACCTTGGGGCCTTTGTAATTATTGTCCAAATATGGTATATTTTGGTAATTTCATTTTTCTGTAACTAATCATAATAGTTACTAATAAATTCCTAATTGATCGCAACTAATTTAGCTACTAAGGGGTAGTTGCAAAAAAAAATTTTTTTGTAACCAATAATGTAGATGCAAAATATAATATTTTAGACGCAAATTGTCAAATTATGGAGGGAAAAATCGCCTGCCAAAAATTGCAACTAAATTTATTAGTCACTAAAGCAACATGTTCTGCAACTAAAAAAATAGTTGTAGAACATTAACTTTAGATGCCAAAAGTTGGAACATGTGGACCCCGAAATTGTGTTGCTCTTTGCTCGACCAATGGCAATTTAGTTGGTAAATGTAGCCTTTTTGCCACTAATTCTGGTTAGTTGCTAAAAAATTGGTTGCAGAATGTAGTTTTTCTTGTAGTGGTTGTTGGTGGTTGTTGCTGCGGATTTTCAGACCTATGAGAAGTATGCAAGCATTCGAAGAAGATGTCACAAAGGGTCTATGGGAGACCGAGAAGTATGATGTTGAACTCGTGGGTAACAGTGAAAGTAATGTGTGAAAGTAAATGAAGTATGTGACAATAAATAAAAGAGTAGACAAGAGTAATTTTTAAAGTGGTTCAAGTGCAAGAAGCAATTCCTACATCCACTATTATCTTATTAATGCGTTTACAAGAGATATTTGCTCTAAACAAAGGTAAATGCTTTATAGCTATTTGAGAAAATGAAATTCTGGATCCTTGATTTAGGATGAAAGTCCCCTTTATTTAGTATTCCAATAAGCATAAAGTAATCCACATGCAACCTGACATGTGGCACCATATTTGTTGGCTTACATATGAAGTAGTCCACATGTGAGTTGACACGTGATCTGGAGAACAACTTGCAAACTTAGAGGCGAAAAACTCCACATGTAGATTGACATGTGACCTTACGTGAATTTACCACCCAACAGTGATCTTTTGTAATTAAATAAATATTAGGAAATTATGATAAAAATATCCAATTACAATACTAAATACAAAAAGTACAAAATTTAAAATCAATTATAGGGCAGATAGAGATTTTGGCTAGAGCAATCGTCCAAAGTAATTAGACACCAATTTGTGTCTTCCTTCACTTATTTCGACTATGAGTTTTGAGTTGTTGGTGAACCAACCCATGACCTTCTTTCAAAGAATTCACTGTAAGAAATATCACGTTGTAGCCTTGTACAACTAATATCTTTAAAAGAAGACAAAAACAAATTTGGAGAAATGGTTAGGTGTGGAAGCTAAAAATCTAATTGGTTTGTGAACGATGTATTTGAAACTATTTGAGGTAACAAAATGAAGTGTAACGCCCCACTTGAGGTACGTAGTTATTGTTTCCTCTTTCACCCTCATTTGAGTTGTTTTTGGTGATATTATTTGATAGTTATTAGTATGAGTGTTGTGTGGATTAATTGCCTTGAAATGGGTTAAAATTAGAAGAAGTGTAGT